ACTCTCTGGACCTAGTAGTGGAATTTTCTTAATTGAGATTATTTTGTGGTATAGCAGTTTTCAAAATAAATGATGGCAAAAAAAACATCCTATGCTTTTTTCATTCCCATTGCAAGTTTTATACAAAAAAACGTATTGTGATATATATCGTTATCGCCACCCTTCACAATACATATCGTGATATAAATTTTATGCCATATCGCACATCCCTACTACCCGCTGCTCCACCTGGATGCATCTTATGTGTGATGCTGAGCACAAATTTCATCATTGTATATAAACATACAATGATGACAACACATAGCACTTTCTTTTTCGGCAGAAAAAGGAAGGTGCACAGTGAATATGAACCAGAAAGACTATCAGGAGAAAGTTATGACACTCCTTAGTGACTTAACCACTTATGAGCCACTGACAAGAGATCCAGGAAGTGGTTACAAGAAGAAATTGATAGATTGCCTGAAACATTTGGAGCAGGACAAGGCTATAGACCGTTTTCTGTACCACAGACTGTACCCAGGGGAGGCCACACCTAGTCTGTATGGTTTACCTAAAATCCACAAACAAGGTGTACCTTTAAGACCTATTGTTAGCATGATTAACTCTGTCACTTACAATGTTTCCAAATATCTGGCGTCTGTACTCATCCCTTTAGTTGGCAGCTCAGAACACCACATACAGAACACCATGGACTTTGTGGACAAGGTGAGGGATGTCATCATGGAGACTGATGAAACAATGGTCTCTTTTGATGTCACATCACTCTTTACGTGCATTCCTGTTGATGATGCAGTAGAGGTGGTCAGTTTAAAATTAAAATCAGACACCACTCTGAGCAGCAGGACCACGCTTTCCACAGAACAACTGTGTCAACTCTTGAAACTGTGCCTGCAGTCAACCTACTTCACATATGGGGAGCAATATTATAGGCAGAAACATGGGTGTGCTATGGGGTCTCCAGTTTCTCCTGTTGTTGCCAACCTGTACATGGAGGAGGTAGAAAAGAGAGCCTTGACGTCCGTTTCAGGGACACCACCAAGTCATTGGTTCAGGTATGTTGACGACACCTGGGTTAAAATTAAATCTCAGGAAGTCCAACATTTTACTGACCACATCAACTCTGTGGATAAATACATCAAGTTCACACGAGAAGATGTAAAAAATGGCAAGTTGGCTTTCTTGGACTGTGAGGTCTCAGTCTCTGATAGAGGACATTTGCAAACTGAGGTGTATAAAACTAAACTAAAAAAAGTCCACACTCAATAATCCAGGTATACAATCCAACAATTTTCAGTCAGGTCATCTGGACAGTTTTTTTTTTTTTTTTGCTGAAACTTTTTTGGTTTTGAACCAGTTTGACATGTCTGTCAACGAGGAAGAGGGCCGGCATCGGAGGAGGGGGCGTGCCAAAGACACCATCTTAGCACCAACATAACTGGTTTGTTCCACTTTGGAGTAAGCTGTTTGGGGGGAAGAATCAGTTTTGTGTTGTGTGTTTCCTTGACTGATGAAGCCTTCCGGATGGAAGGTGAAACATTTCAGCAAAAAAAGAAACTGTCCAGATGACCTGACTGAAAACTGTTGGATAAAACTAAACTGATTTTGCACAAAATATTAATTAGTTGTAATGAAAACTTTACAATCTTACATACTGAATTTGACTGCAATATCTTGCCTTGCACATGACAACATCTACTGCAGTAAATGTGGTTATTAGTATCTTTGAACATTTTTGTCCCATCTTGTTTGCCTTACTGTTGGCTGATGAGGCAGAAATGCCTCGGTGAGCTTCACTACCTCCACCATTACAGCTATGTGTTTGTTCTTTTGTCAGGGGTTAGCTCACCTTGGAGTTCATTTCAAAGTGGGCGGAGCCATCTTAGCATTCATGTCATGTCAACTATTGTTCCTTTTATTTCCATTAATAACGTATTTAAACACATTGAAATTCAGATCGATTTTAAACAAGGAAATGTTAAAAGTGGCTTCAATGTCACCATTTCATTTCATGTGTCCACTTGACTTCAACAAAAACCAAACCAATCGAACGGAATCATCTTTGAGTATTTAAATGTGTAGCTTGAAGGATTACTTCAGCTTTGAGTACGAGCCACGCCTGCTGACTGGTAACAGACTAACTGCCCTGTGGTCTGACTAAAGATAAAGAAAAAAAAACATTTATGCTTTGATACAGAAGGCTGGTTTAATGACACAAACATGTATGTGGGTTTGGGGAAGAATGTGGGAATATTTTGAGACAGTTTGGGTTTTAATGTTCTCAGTCTGAGACACATGTTTCCGTTTTCACACCAACCTCACACAAACAAAATGAGCTGTGCACCATTCACATGAGAACACCCAGCAGATTCCACCATGTCATTAAAAAACAAACCAAGACAGAAAAGCTGTGTGTGAAACACGGAGTCCTCCTGAGCTGCTTCAACAGGACTTAAGAGGTTCGTCTTCTGCTGCTGATCAGATGTATTGATGAACTAACTGATCATCATCAGTGTGATCACCTGCAGAACAGCAGGAGCTTCATCAGTTCGCTGCTCTGGAGCAGACACAATGCTGAGATGGAAAGACATCAGCAATGACTCAGAGAAGCAACTGTTGCCATCAGTCAATTTGTGAAGAGTCAAAGGTCATTTCCAAAACTATTTAAAGTTCATCGTTCTACAGAGAGAACGATCATCAACAAGTGGAAAACGTTAAAGATGGCTGCTTCTTCCAGGTAGTGAAAGTCCCAGAAAATTCACCCCCAGGTCAGACCGTGCAATGCTCAGGGAAATAACAGCAAACTCCAAGAGCTCCGTCTCAGACTGTACAGGTCTCAATCAGCAGGTGAAAGGTTAAAGTTCATGAGAGGTCAGTTTGATAAAGACTGAACACGTTTGAGTGATTTGGAGTTACAGCAGAAAAACTTCTGTCTAAAAAGAACACGACAAAATGACTTTGGTTTGTAAAGTTTCATCTGAATGAAGCTCAAGACGTCTGGAACTACATGAGACCACAGTAGAGATGTTTACCCATAATGCACTGCAGCATGTTTGGAGAAAACTGAACACATTAACTGTGAGGCACAGTGGTGGAGGGGTGATGGTCTGGGACTGTTGTGCCCCTTGCAGTCAGAGTCCACCATGAGCTCCTCTGTGGATCTAAGGGTTCTAGAGCCAGATGTGATATCATCTGTCTAACAGCTGGAGTTATCATCATAAAACAGAACAACGATCCCAAACAGCAGCTGATCTACAACAGAATGGCTCAAAAAGAAAAGAATCAACGGCCCAGTCAAAGTCCAGACAGAAACGTTGTGGTGTTCGACGGAGCTTTAGGGCCACGCAAAAAAAAAAAAATATTAAAAGCCATAAAATTACGCGAATAAAGTCGAATAAAGTCTTAATGTTACGAGAATAAAGTCGTACGAGACTTTTTTTTTTTTTTTGCAGTTCTCCTTTATTTTTATTTTTTCCCATGAGTCGGATCCACAATGCGACCTGTCAATCAATCTAGTAGGCGTGTCAGAAAATGGCCAATCCGAAGCTAAATGAGTGGCAATATTATCCGAACTCCGACATGGTAAAGCAAAGTTTACCACATTTTAACTGGCAAAATGAAGAATGTTGAGCATTTTGTTAAGGTATACTTTGGTATTGGTTTTATAAATAAGGAGACGGTTAATCTGTTTGCACATCAGCATCAGATTATTATCAGTATCAGGACTAACCTGCGTACAGTAAGGTGGTACGCTCTAGGGCTGCAGCACAAATCTGCAGGTAAGGAGCATTTAGCTTCGGATTGGTCATTTGCTGACACGCCTGCTGGAATGATTGACAGGTCACGTTGTAGATCCAACTCGTGGAAAAAAAAAGGAAAAAAAACGAGAGCTGTAAAAAAAAAAAAAAAAAATCTCGTACGACTTTATTCTCGTAAATTTGATGGCTTTTAACTTTTTTTTTTTCTTAGGGTGACCCTAAAGCTCCGTCGCAGTGGTGGGACCTGAAGAGAGCTGAGCAGAAACTACCGTCAGGAAACCTCAAAGAACTGAAATAACGCTGTAAAGAAGAGTGGGCCAGAATTCCTCCACAACCCCGAGATAGACTGAAAACACAGAATACAACCACCGAGTTATTGAAGCTAAAGGAGGTTCTGCGAGCTGCCAAATCGTGGTGGGATTTCATCTTTTCTTCAACACTTTTCCATTTGTTTAATAAATAATCACTCGGTGGAATCTGTTGTTTTTGCTCGCTTCAGGTTAGATTTTAACCATTGTAGAAACCCGGTAAAGACCAGATCGTATTTTCATGACGTCCTGAAACTTGAAAAAAGAAAAATCTCAAGAACTGAAAGAGCGTGCACTTTCTCGACTGTGTCGTCAGGTCACGACTTCTGTGTAAAGACGTAATGACTTTAGTGTTACAACGTGACTCTCATCTGACCAAACTGGTTTTTGTCGTCCTAATCGCTTAAGACCAAACTGGAAAAAAAAAAAAAAAAAGCTTCATGTGCCAACTGGAATCAAACCGGCTCAATCTAACAAGAGACGAGTCACGGAAAAATAAATATACTAATAATAAGTTGTGTTAACGTTTGGGTGTGTGGCTGCTCCACCTTTTCCTGCATTCTTCTACCTACTTCCTAGAAAACTAAATGAGATTTGCAACTGGCCCACGATAAAAAAAAAAACAACACACACACACACAACTAACAAGCTCACATAGCGGCACCTTTAACCACTTAAAACCTCCGGCAGGGACCAAGATGAGAGACATCAGCATTCAGGCATCCCAGGAATATGGTTTAAATTACGCTCATGTGTTGTGGACAAAGACACCAGGCAGAGCGCTCTGTGGACACTCCAGTACACAAGTCCAATCCTGACCCAAGAGCTACGAAACTTAACGAGTTCAAGAGAGCAGAGGCAGAGCACTCCCTCGAGGAGCTGTCACTCAGGAAAATGTGTGTGTGGTTTGTAAGAGTTAATGTTTGGAAACACTCACCTGGAGCAGACATGGTGACGGTGGCCCGAAGTGGAGGAAAACTTACGTCACACTTCCTGAATCACTCCCGTTTTCTCTGGGAATGCGAGCGTGGGGGGGGGAGATAATAATGAGGGAGGGAGCTGTGGACCGAACAGAGAAGAAACAAGCTGAGGAATGAGCGCCGACTGCTCAAAACTGGCTGAAAAGGCTAAACTCAACTGTTCAAACATTAAACCCATCAGAACACAGGAGAAGATGAGCCGAAGAGGAGCTAAAAGCTGCAGAACAAGAGCCACAAAACTAAATGGAGAACAGATTCAAAAATTAGCAGAAGGGACGCTAAAAACCTGGAAAGCAGTTGCTAAAACTAGCACAACAGACGGTGAAGCTAAAAGGAAAAATGTCACGTTTAGAAAATGAAGCTGAAACTAGAGCAATTGCATGTCCTGCAAAAATGCAGTGTGCATGTTGAAAAACAGCTGAAATGAGCTAAAAAGGCATGCTGAAAAGTAGTTGAAATGGAAGAACAAGCCTAAATTAGCAGAGGAAAACTTAAAGAACACATATTTGCTGAATTAGGTTTGAATAAGCAGAAATGAGCAAAAAAATTAGGAAATTAGCTTTAAAAAAGCTGAAATTAGCAACAACAAAAAATAGCTGAAAAGTAGCTAAAAATTCAGAAAGAAGCTTAAGCTACCAGAAGGAAGTGGAAAGAGCTGAAAAGAGCTAAAAATGTGAAATTAGCTGAAAAAGCTAAAAGTAACATAAAAACAGCTAAATAGTAGCTGAAAATGCAGAAAAATATGAAACTAGCAGAAAAAAGTTGAAAAGAGCATAACAAGATGAAATTGAACGTAGCAAAAATTATCAATTGAAACTCGAATTTATCTGAAAACAGCTAAAATTAGATAAAAGGGTAGCTGAAAATGTAGAACAAGCTTAAATTAGCAACAAACAAAAAAGAAGCAGAAAGAACACGTTTGACCAATTAGGCTGAAAGAAGCAAATATGAGCACAAAAGATAAGCAGCAGAAAGCAGCTGTGGTCCCACCATCCTACAGAAAGATCAGCAGCAGAAAGCAGTTCTGGTCCCATTAGCCTCTGGAACGATAAGCAGCAGAAAGCAGCTGTGGTCCCATCAGCCTTTGGAAAG